CCGCCCGCGCCCCCTGCCGGCCAACGCCGCGCCGCCACCCCCGGGCAGCTCCGCGCGGCACGGCCGGGACGGGACGGTCCCACAGCCGACGTGTATCCCACAGCCGGCGTGTATCCCACAGCCGACCTGTACCCCACAGCCGACCTGTATCCCACAGCATACGCGGCCCGCCCGCCAAGGAGCCGGGCAGTGTCAGCCCTCTGAAGCCGCCCTCTTTCACAGCCACAGCGGCGGAGAGCAGCGAGAGGCTCCGGGGCTAACAGCGGGCACCCAGCGCGAGTTCCTCACGCCCCAGCCCTGGTTTTCAACTTCCCGCTGCTTTTAGCTCGCAGCGTTGGAGAGGATGGCTGTCAGTTCCGCGGAGATGCAGCTGGGCGAGGTGGGTACTGCCGCTGATCCGCTGGCACGTTCTTCTCATATCTGATTCACCGGGAGTACGGCTGGAAGCTGTCACGGCCCTTTGGAAAAATGCCGCAAATTTCAGTACGAAGATATAACAAACAGTTCTCCTGTGCAGCTGATAAAAGTGAATTCATTCCATAACTTGCGCAGTAGTCATCAGGATTGGCTCCAAACAAAGCAGTTCCCAGCTAACCAGCCTTGTCCCTTCACAGGAGCCAATTCTGCTCCACTAGCAGGAGCGCTTGTTCAATCCTGTAAGCTGATCACTTTTCAAATACACCAATTTTTCATGTATCCCTAAACCAGACTCTAAAATCAATTCTGCAGATTTGAGGAATGCCCTAATTCCTTTTACATACCGTGCTCTGGCATGTGGATGCAGAGCCTATGTGAATGCTAGGTGATCAAAAGTGAAAGGAAAGATGTGTGCCAATGTCTTTACAAACAATTCGATGGGTGAAGGTATGGGTGTTAACGTCCTTGAAATGGGTCTTAATGTCTCTGCCAACTTCAAAAAGCAGGGCTCAGACAGTCTGGGCTCCTGGAACAGATAAGGGTCTGCACAAGGCTGAACTTTTGGGTAAAATGCCAGGTTCATGGGGGGAATATGAGGTAAATGGTTTGGGAAGGCTGTACCTTCCTAGCAGCTCAGCCCATGGGGAAGGGAAGAGGGATACACGGCCGGGAGTTCAGGATAAAAGGGAGGCTGCACCCTCTGAAACCTCGAGAGAGAAACTGCACAGAGGTGTGCCCCAGTGCACTCTCTCCCTTTATTCGAATAAAGACGACTGTATGAAGAGGACACTGCCTTTTCATAGAGTGAGTTTCTGTACAAAAGCTATGCACTGTCACTAAAAATGTGGCACCAGCGTCTTTAGCTGCAGTAAGGAGGCACCTCGAAGAATGTCTGTGGTTCTCACACTCCCATGGTTCCACTTGCAGCCCTGGATTCTCCTGCCAGCTTCCAACTGTGCTGTCACACTGCTCTGCCAGATCAGCAGACACACTTATCTCGGTGGCCTCCACTCTTGGGTCACAGTGACTGGTGATCACAGCCCTGCCAACAGCAGCATGGAGCCAAGTTTTCTTTCTTTGATATTGCACATCCATAGAGCCAACACATCCAGGAAAAAGACTGGGCATGGTTTCCTGGCTAAACTTGTAATGCATGACTGGTATGATTTCACCTGGAAATGTGCTGAGGTTCTCCAACTTTCTCTGTGGGATGAGAAGTAGGAATTAATGTAGTTTTAACCAACAGACTGCAGAGCAGTGTGGGAAGGGGTTGTTCAGCTGCAGATCAGAATGGAGCCTTTACCCACTGCTGCTCTCCAAAAGCCATCCCCAGGGCTGCTCAGCAGCCTGCACATCAAATGCAGGCACAGCTGTTCTTCCCTGCCACCAGCATCACATCAGATTAGAGCTAATTGATGACAATAATTTTCTTATTTTCTATAAAACCAGTATCAACCATCTAAAAAAGAATGGCTGGTAGAGAAGTGGAAGACAATCTACGGCCCATAGATGTGGCGAGTTCTGACTGCAGTTCACCAGATCACTTTAGGGCATGCTAGGATAGCAAAATGCCCAACCATAGCACAAAGAAATCTGACCTTCCCCTACCCAGAAAGCAGAAGACATACCTTACAGAACAATTATTTCTGTATGGAAACAGTGATTTGCCATGATGGCAAATGTTTGCCACAGCAATTGGATTTCCATATCCCTCCAGAACAAAGTGCAGTTCAAAAAGGATTTAGGATTCAGAAACTGTCAATTTGAGATCCTTGGGAGAAGGATTAGTTAGGGGTTAGTTCATAACTGTCCTGCAGACAAATTCTAACACACATAGTACACAATCAATTCAATTTCACAGCATAAAATAATTCATTTCTCTACTTAATCCAATAACTAATACTTCTGCAAGAAAGGAAAACCAGGGAGTAAGCTCAAAGACTTTACCCAAAATACCAGCTAGATCCCAACTACTTCTTGATAGATAGGTTTACAGCCAGTTTTGTGCTTAAAGAAAGGTTTGGGGCACTTCTAAGCTATTGTATCCTTGAACTGTCTGAGAGTATTTTATATGAAGTAATATTTGCATGCACTTGTTTCACTTCTTGGTTTATTTCTTCACTAACAGTTTCAGACCCTCTAACTCTGTGGGTGGGGTTTTTTCTTCTTTTAGGAACAGAGGAGTTTCAGTGATCTGAAGCAGTCTTTCAGTTCCATTGTTTGACTTGGGCTGGATTTCTCAGCTACACGCCTGGATGCTTCAGAGAGTCCTCACTCTCCATCTAGTAAAAGGTGACATTCTTAGCAAGCACTATTTTCATTTTGCTAATTACTGGCTGGGATACTGTGTGTTTCAGTCCTACTGCTTTCAAGCATATTACAGAAACTGCCAGGTCTGGGAGGAAACCCTTTGAAAACAGTTATTTATGCCTCTTTTTGCCACCACATACCTGAAGTCTGATGTCACCTCTTTCAGCTGCTTTGTGCATGTTCCTGTGTCATTCCAGGTGTCATGTGGTGTATCTGTCCAAAGCCTGACAAAGTTACCCCAGATTTTATAGCTTTGAGCACCTTGGTGACTCATGTATATTTCAGAACTATATTCCTGTAACTTACTAGGATGAAAATATCATTACCCATTAAATTACCAGACTCTAAGTCTCACTGGATCTTTTGGAATCTTTTAATAATGCTGTAACTGTTAATTTGGATATGGTGCCACAGCCACTCACAGAGATTTCTGTAACCCTTCTGTTGCATTAAAGGAGTTTCTGTTTTCCTTAAAGGCTGTCTATTATCTTATTCATCAGCATTTCTACATATATGGCTTTACAGCATTTAAATTATCTCTGCAGGGAGTTGCTCAATCCAACCCTCAAAGATGCTATTTTGCAGAATATCATGATCATGTTAAATGTTATGTTTTCATCTCTTGCTATCAGGATTTAGTTCCTGATAATATCATCACACTCAGCCTCATCAGTTTCAGAAGTAATCAAGCAATCAGTAATTAAAGTACATACTAGGAATATTACCACATATCTCGTTATTTTCCTCTACTCTTTCATGGGTTGATTAAATCCCAAATAATAATTACAAATTCTACATTGTTTCTAGGTGAAGAAAGATACAGAAAGAAGAATATGCCTTATCTGGCTGTACATGCCAATATTGCCCTTTCTTTTGGATAGCATTATGGAAAACTCCATTTATTTTTCAGAGTGAATAGAAGAATGCTGTTTGCTCATGACTCTATGTCCTGGAGGATATAATACCCCTTCATTTGGAAAATTACTGATTTATTTGCAGGACTTAAAAAATAAATTAGGACCTCTTATCAAATGTAACTTGCACAGTTAGTCTGGCCTATTACTTCCTTCTCTTTTTTCCACATCCCACTGTCATGAAGCTGGATGCAGATCAACTACTGGATTAAAAGACAGGCCTCTGCTCCCAGAAGGTCCATGTTTGATCCCAGCAGGAGCCACAAGAGTATTGCCAGTGCATGGCAGAATGGCAAAGACCAGTGAATTCACCCAGCCACAGTGCAGTCAGCAACCTACAAAGTTAGTTTAGCACTCATGGGACAGAATCACCACATGGTGATGTTGCCCATCACATTCCAGCTGTACTTTTTTCTCAGTGTTCAGAGTGATGTATTTTGAAGAAAAGAGTTTGTTGTCACTTCTTTATGGAGAAATTGCTGCAAGCAGCAGTAACCACAAATTTAATTTGAAGCTAACCACAAATTTAAGTCGAAGCTTTTGAAAGAGGAAGTATGTGGGACCACACTTGGGGAGGAATGTATGCAGTAGAAATAGGCTTATAAGTACACTAATAAAACACTTATATCGTGCATTTCTTATTTCTCCCCAGTAGAAAACCAAATGCCATTTCCCACTTTGCAGACATTCAGCATTAATCTTCATAGCCCAATTTCTTCAGCATGGACTTGGTAGCATGAGATACAGTAGGGGAACCATAGCTCTCCTTTTGCTCAGTGCCTCTGGAGAAAAAGCTTAAGTGGCTTCTTTATTTTGGCATAATGCCTTATGACACATCATACTTCAGTTCTGATCAAAGCTCCTGTTCATAACCCACATTTCAAAGCAGTTTTAAATGAGATCCGACATTCATTTAAGAGCATAAACAAGTGACTCAAATTCTAGCTTTTGCTACTATCTAAGATCTCTTTTAATGAATATCTCTTGCATTGATAATCAGTAATTGTATTCACAGACTTTTATCCAGGTGTTATTCTGAATGCCTATCTAGGTTTGAACAGCACATATAATGAGGTGTGACAGACAGCTTTTGGGACAGCCTTAGGCCAAAATTAAATGTTAAGGAGCTTTCCTCTTAGAAACCCTGCCTTGTCTCTCCAAATAGCAGAGTTATGGGATGGAAACCAGCTTGGAGACAGCACCCTCCTTTGCCTCTCTGATAGGTGCACTATTAGGCCAGCTTACTATTTCACCTATTTAAAGCTCCATTTAGTAATTTTACACTAGAATTAGCTTCTGAAAAGAAACTCCACAAAGAGTTCAGCATAGTCCTCTGAAACACAGGTCTCAGATTGTCTGAATATGTATCATTGCTTTTATTTGCATTTCAAACAATGCAGATGAAAGTACAAATGCCCAAAAAGGCGGCAGGTGCATGGAAAAAGCCTCAAAAACAACACTTAAAATAACTGCATGCATACACAGCTACTCTCCAGTGTCATTTATGATCCTAAACAGCTCCTTCTGTCTCCCTGGAATAAGGCAAGCCATTCTTCCAGCACTTAATTGGTTCTAGGGGTAACCAAGTCCAGCTGCTCTGTCTCACAAAGCAGCACAGCTGCCTTCTCTCAGTCCAGAGGAGACGAGGAGGGGGGAAAAGGGAAAGTACCCACCACTTCAAGAGCTCCATTCCCAGGGTCTCACATACCTGACTAGAATCCAGATCAGAATTTTAAACAGATCCTTTAGGAGCAGCAATCAGCTTCCTAGGCAACCAGAGTGGCCACATTGCTGGCTGCTAACACGAAGATAGGAGGAAGGGGAGGGGGTGTGAAAATACATTTATATATGCACACACAGACATATATATATACATATATATAAAAGATTGCCCTTATATGCTTACAGGAGGGTTTCCTAGTTCATAAATATTCTTGCTGCAGGCTGTGATTTTAGTTAAATTCAGACTCAACTTGCCAAAGGTGTAGGCAGTAAAGTTATTCAGAGTGACAGCTCTTAGCCCTTCTGTTGCTGGGTGAGTTAGGATCAGATGGTGAGATGCCAGCAAAACTGGCTTTGGTGTCTGAATGCTTCCTGGCTTCTGAGGAATTCCCAGGTATCTTGCTGGAGAAGAATACTGACCCTTCTGGCAGTACAAAACCAAAGAGTTGTCCATAAAGTTAGGAAAATTTTAAGCACATGATATTATTCCCCTGTTGTATTTAGTTCTCAAGGAAACTGCTAACTTAAAAGGTAAAACTGGGGCAACCTACCTGGAAAAATACTCTTCAGCAAAGATAACATCACTTCCAGCTTCCTTATGGCCCCATTCTCTGACACACATCAAACCAGCTCATGAGGGATCACAGCAAGACATGAAAAGTGGTGGTTGTTTCCTCCTGAGTCATTCCTGATGGAGCACCAGGTCTGGATGCCAAGTGAAGCTGTACATGCTGGCTTTGATGCAAAATTCTTCCATTAAAATGGGTATCGAGGGCACTTGTATGTCCCACACTGCTGTTCAAAATGAACTTGGGAAAAGTCTTGGGATACTTTATGGACACACACACACAGAAGTTGGTGTTGATGTACAGATATTTTTCATACTGTATTCTTTGTCACCAGAGAGGCAAAGAAGTCATATGGAACAGGAATGTCAGCCTCCTTAGGCTGTAGGCAATAACAGTGCTTTGCATCAAAGCCAGCAGGTACAGCCCCCTTTGGCATCCAGACCTGATGCTCCATCAGGAAACAATGTGTACATCAACACAGATAACGTGGGTGGATGTAGAGGAAAACACCTTCATAAGAATATTGAGTTATTGCCACTTGAAATATGAATAACACTGAATAATTTAGGTATCTGAGTATCTTAGTATCCTATTTCTGTGCACAAATCCATTGGCTGAGAATGCAAGACACATATAGTCTGGAGCCATGTCCTAGTTTAAGCAGAGATAAATAGCACTGCAAGATCCACCCTCCCAAAATTTGAATTCTTCCTGCTTATAATTAACACTGACTAACATATTGTGAATCAGCAGAAGACTTAAACACACGTACATGCACATCCTGCTGTATCAGATGAACTTCCAGTACCAACACATATAATTGCTCCAAGGCAAGAATAGCAACATACTAAGCAGTTATAAAGCCAGACACTCCAATATAATTTATTTCTAGCTGCATTTGATACTCATGTCAGAATACACCTCACTTTTAGGGTTCAATTCTTCTACATTAACATACAGAAGGCACTACCCCGGTGTGTAGGAACAAATAAGGAAGTGTGTAGAATGTAGACATGAATGAGTTGTGGAGTATTTTCTCAGTGTGTCAGAGGAAAAACAGTCAGTCTGGCTAAGCCAAGTTTCTCTGTTTTGTACCCACATATGGTGAGGATTTCAAGAATTAATTCCCTCCTCGCTACCTTAAGGTCTGTCAAAGGAACAAATCCAGTAACCCTAAGAGTAGCCCAGTCTTAGAACTTGCTTTCAGACAAGTGAAAAAGCCTTATTTTAATACTTGATTCAGCCCGGAGGAACTTGCTGTGAACAAAAATTACAAGCAGGCAACAGACAGTATTCCCAGAATATCTAAAAAACTGTAATTGTAGCACTGTCGGATTCCTTTTGGCTTCTCCTGTTCCTACGGATCTTTGCCGAGTACATTCTGTGAAGAAAAGAAAGTCCCTCATTCTACTCCATACCCTTAGGCAGTTAATTCCTAAATCTTCTGGTGCCTTTGGGTGGGGGCAACCAGTGAGGCTGGGCAGCATTTCTCGGGCTCGTTAGCACCCTTAGGGCCACTTATTGCTTCTCCATATGAGCAACATTTCTTGTTTACAGCCGTTCAGAGGCACCTTCCTCAGTGAATTGTGTGGGGTATTAATGAGCTCTTTTAATATTCTGCAAAGAGCATCCCTGGCTCTCAGCAATCAGCTCTTACAAGATTTCTACTATCAGTGCAGATCCATGTGAAGCATGGCAAACACAAACAAGAGAGGCAAGGGTCAGGCTGCTGAGCTGGGATGTGATGCTGGCTCAGGAGAAGGACACTTTCCCACAGCCTAAGGTCCAGCCTGTGCAATGTGTTGGCAGCAAAGTTTACTTCAATGGGTCTGAGGATGGCTGGGAGAAAAATGTAACTTTTAGAGTGCTCTGTAAAATTATAGATGCTAAAAAGGCTACTTGGAGATTGCCCTTTATTGCATATATTGTGAGGGAATATGTAATTTTTCTATTTTTAATATATTATAGACAGGGTAATTTTTTTTTAGGTTAAATGAGCAAATATCAGGCCAAATGATGGTCCTAGAGGTCACCTCTATCATGCTGAATGCAGACTATCAGCAGAGTTAATGAAGAGTGCCTGCCAGTGTAAATCATTTGTCATTGTCACTCTGAGGATTCAGAGTGACAATGACAATTTTCACTTGTGTTTTCCCTTTTCAGAAAAACTGATGGTTTTGTCTTGTTAGTTTTTGCATACAGCTAACTAGTGTGTTTCAAGGGCAGGACAAGATCAAGCAAAGATGGCAGGGTATTGAGTCAGGAATGTGAGAGAGGCAAATAATGTGCAGTGTGTGGTGACAAAAAGAGAGCATTTGATCATAGCCACTGCAGAGAATAGCTAAATAGCACAAGTCCCGTGGATGGGCATCAGATTGCCCATAATGAAAAGAATTAGCAAAGCAACGGCCCAAACACTCATTAGCTCAAGTACATGTCTGAAAACAAACATATCCATATGCATGGAGATGTCAGCAAGGATTAATCCCACATCTCAAGTGGAGAGTGACCCAGCTGCAGCAGATTGAAGAGCTTCATTTTCAGCTATTGGACAGACAGGGAGAATTTTACTACTACTGCTACCCACAAAAAGCTGTAGGTCCCCGGGGGATCCACCAAAGACCTGGGGGATCCACCAAAATACTTCCTTACACATAGCATGGTAAGGGATACATGCCAGGGCCTTACCAAGCAGACAGGCAGGGCATGAATACCCTCAGTCTGACACTCACACAAAGGTCTACAGACAGCTCCCAGTGTGGAACCTCCTGGCCATGTCTGTGCTGTGGGAGAACTGGGGGTTGGATGTGTATCCCAACACCAAACATCTGCATACATTGTAAGCTGCAGCCCAAATGTGCAGAAAATAGAGCAACGTGCCTCTCTCTCACTGACTGTCATTAAAGTGAGCTCAGGCTGCTTTTGCAGCTGCAGGAAACCAGGGGCTTGTTTTCCTGACAGCCTTCAAGTGAAGAGAGTTTTCTATTTTGAGAATTTCATTACCCTTCCCCTCTCCTAGTAGTCTGATATTTCTTTTCAGAAGCTTGAAAGTAGAAATAACCACTGAAATTTGTCTATTTTTCCCCTCTCAAAAACGGAAGTTCTAAAATTGAATGTGAACTTGAAACATTTAAGTGATTTTTTTTTCCCCATGCAATGACAGACTTAATAGATTCTGAGAGTTTTTAAAGTAGTCTATATTGGTTGTACTTATTTTGCAGGCTGATTTCAGACACACAAAAAGAGCTCTGTCATTCTCCAGTGACCTCAGTGGGGTTTTTTTCAGGTTTACATCAGCATGAATAAGAGCAGGAGAATTAGCTCTTTTAAAAAGCAAGATAGCAATGCAAGCCTCTTGCCCAGAGTCAAGTGCAAGTTCTGAATGAAGAAAGCACTCTTACATTTAATACATATTTGAGATCTACTGAATTCTGCTAATATTAGGTACATGTTTAAAGACTTTTAAAAAAATCCTTTAAATGGGCTCAGATATAAAGCAAGCTGTCTCTCATACACTGGTGTCAGATTCACTCCACCTCCAATCAAAACTTGACACACCAACTTATGTCAGGTAACTCCAGTACATGCTTTTAAGACTTCATGGCCCTTTAGAGGGAGCATACAGTTGGGAAAAAGAACAACTAAAACTGCACAGGATGTGCTGTGAAACTTTAGTATCTCTTTTTCTGGCTGCTTGTATTTATAGAAGTAAAACTACTGTATAACTGTTGGGTTTATGTGTTAAACCTTCTCTGAGTAAAATGAGATTGCACTGTTTGTATATGGGGTTTTTATTTGCTAACTTGCACACCAGGAGCAAATGCTTGTTTCTTAGCAGACTATAAAACAATCTGTGTTTATCTAAGGGTACTGTCTAATGTTTAGAGGCCCCTATTTACAGTGCATTTTATGTTTGGGTTTTTCTACTCTGACAGATTAGAAACCCCCTGCAGCAGTGAAACTTTTCATAAACCTTCTGATGTGGTTTAACCTATCCCAGCTGAAACCAGGGCACCTTCAAACTTTTACACTGAATAAACTGATAGTTAACTGTAGCAGTCTTTAGCATTTTAACAGCTTCCTCACTGAAATTGCTACAAAAGCAGTAGAATTGGTAAAAGACATCATTTTACAAAAGTCTAGCACTAACAATCTTGGGTGTATTGTTTTCCCTCTCAAATGTACATAATTACTCACTCTTAGGACAAACATGCAGTTCATAGTCCACTCAGTATAGGGTTCGCTACACTTTAGGCCCTTGTGATACTGAATCTCATAATTCAGGTCTTTAAGATCTAATTCATCTCAGCACTTGTCACAGCAGGCAAAACTGAGTTATGGCCTGTTTTGTCCTCAGCCAATAGATGGGTGGGGTATTAAGCCACATGGAGAAGAGAAAGCCAATTTACCACCCTGCATGCTTAAACAAATAAGCCGATTAAAAGAGACAGTGATTTTGTGTGACTAAATTAAAAAAAAAAAAAAATGACAGTTTTCCTCTCTGGTTCTAAACTGAAATATTTCAGTTGTGAACAAAGGAGGTGGGTAAACAAGTGGCTTTGAGGACAAGAGGAAAGCATTGCTATTCTTTGCAAAGAATGCCCTAAAGCATGAAAGCAGAGCACGCTCATTGTATCCATGATACTGCTGTCTCCCTAAGGCACAAAGGGATGGCAACGGGGCTCACACAGCTTTGACTCCAGCCAAGCAGCAGGGATCCCAGTGGAGTTCCCATGGAGCTTTCATCAGAAATGGAGATTCACAGTGTGTTTAATCTCATCCCCTAAAGACCTTGCTCTGTGTCAGACAGCAGCGGTGCATAAAGACTAGAACTGCAGTCTGGCAAACTGGGTCTAAAGTTGCACAGTTTAGTGTAAATCAGCACACACATATTCTGCCCCTCTAAAAAAACAAACAACCAAAAAAAAAAAAATACCAACCCAAACTCAGGGGAAATTGAAGAAAGATCACACTTTAACTTACCAAATACAGAGTCTGAATTACAATGCCTCTGCCTTTGCTCATCAAACATTGTTATTACAGGACAAACTCCTGTTGGAGTTGCAGCCTGTTTGTCACATGTGATTATGTCCAGTTCTTGCCCTCAATGTCAACAGAACATAGGCACAAAGCTCATTACTGAGCTCCCTGGTAAAACACAGATGAAACTTTGCACAGGAGTGGTATACTGAAGAATTTCTTGCCTGGAGAGAAAGAGACATTCATTGTCTGACTGTTCTAAGCATCTGAACATGATCAGGTCAGACAGATCTGCCCACAAGGTTACTGTTTTATCTTATAGGATCCCAGGCAGTACCTCTGAAACAGCTGTTCTACAAATTTCCTCTTTAAAAGAGCAATGTAAAAAAAATACTTCCCTTACTATCTCAGCCTTGCCTCTAATTATTTCATTTTCTCTTTGTATTTTTTGCTCTTCTGATACAGGTTACAGTTGAGACATTGTTATGTTAACCCAGAATTTCACAGGATCACCAAACTCCTCCTGTCTTTGTCATCTTGCAGAATTTTACCTTCAGGTAAGTTGTGAATGGATGCAGAACAGAAACATTACTTAACATCAAGTATGGATTAGTTTGACTGCTTCCTGAAGTTGAAGAGTGCTGTAAGAAAATGGCTTAATTCAGCCTTTATTCCTGTACATTTTAAACATCTTTTAACACATTACCAATCTGGTGTCATACACACTTTTAGCTTGAAGGTTTTTCAAGTACAACTGATGGCAAACATGTTTCAGCTCTATAATTGCTTTCTCTTCTTTGTCAAAACTAGTGACAGAACACAAGTCCCAGAGCCGATAATATTGATATTAAAATGTGCAGTTAAAAAATCTTTTTAGGCTAGTGATTCTTGTTACTCTGGCAAGGGATTATTTCAGCATCAACCAGTTATTCTGACTGTGAGAATAAATCTCAAAAGTTATGTAAGTGTCCACAGGGGACACAACATGTTTTGCCCCTTACATTTTATTCTTTCATTTTTCTTCACAAGACAATGATAAAGAGGATCATTTAGTACTGCCAATTACAAAAATATTTTGTTTTCAGTCCACTTCTGTATTTTATTTTAATGGCCTTTTCAATTATTTCCAGCTGAATTGTATGGAAATATTTTTAATTTTACATATTTTGCTTGGAAAAAAACTCATGTTAATGCATGGAATATGAGAAATCATTATTGGAAAGGCTTCTTCAGGCTAAACACTTCAGTTTTAGGCAATGCTTTCTATTCACAACACAAATTGCATGACCTGAATGATGTTCCCAGAGCTTTGTACTCAAACTAAGCTCCACTGGGAAACTGCTCATAACCAGTACTTTTTGTGGACTGTATCTGTCTTTCCACTGGTGCTCTCACTACAAACGTGAGTAAGACACCAATCTCCCCCAGATCTGCTGGTTTCTGGCATGTCAAGAGAGAAATCATCAATAATAACTATTGCTGCAAAGTCTACCCGGCAGTCAGGCACTCCTGGTGTCCCTCAGGGATCAGGGCTGGGATCAGCACTAATGTCTTCATTAACGATTTGGATGATGGCACAGAGTGTGCTCTTGCCAGGTTTGCAAATAACACAGCTTGGGGATGGCAGGGCAGCCCATCAGAGGGACCTGAACAGCCTGGGGAAATGGGCTGACAGGAACCTGGGGAGTTAAACAACAAAAGCAAATACAGATTCCTGCATCTGGGACTGAACGACCCCTCACAACCCAGACAGGCTGGAGCCAAATCTCTGGGAAGCAGCTGTGCAGAAAAAAACCCCTGAAGGTCCTGGTGGAGAAGTTGACATCAATCAGCAGCATGTCCTTGGATCACAGGAGCCTAGGAGGCTTTAGCCTGGGCTGCATTCTTGTGATCACCAGGCACTTGTGAGACCTCTCTGGGATGTAACATCCAGGATTGGTGTCTCCAGTACAGGACAGATATTCACATCCTGTGGTGAGCTGGGTGAGGGGCCACCACAATGGTTTAGGGGGATGATGGAAGAGGGGAGGCAGGGAGAAATGGGCCTGTGAATGCTGGAAGAGAAAACACTCACAGGATGTCCTTGTCTGTGCTTACCTGAGCAGGGAATGCAGGGAAGACAGATTCCTTAAAGTGCACAGCAGTAGGATAAAGGCAACAGGCACAAGGAGGAACACAGGAAAGCAATTAGACAGAAAGAAAATGTTCTTACCATGAAAGTACTCAAATGGCCAGGCAGATATGGAATGTCCCTTCCTCTTTGTAGGTATTTAAGACTCACCTGGACAGATGCCACCACCATCTGATCTCATTAGGCTTGCTGTTAGCAGGGAGTTGGCCTAGGTGACCTCTGGAGGCCACAATGAAACCCATATTCTAAGACACTAGAACTTCTAGATACAGGAAGAAGAGCGACAGGGAGCTGTTGACAGTAAACCTGCAAATGGCTAGAAAACAACAGCAAGATAAACAATCTAAAAGATGAGCCTGTTGTCCTATCTTTAAGAGGTTTTAAGATTTTAGGATACATTTTAAAGGTAAGAAATACTGAAGATGAAGTGATTAATAGACAATGAGATAATATCCTGTATCAGACTACCAGTAGCATACCCTTGAGATCACTCTAGTATTTCCTTTGATAAGAAATTCCAGGTAGTTTAGACCTGCTGTGATTAAATAGCACTTTAGGTTTTTCAGGCTGAGGAAAACATTTAATGCAATAAGTATAAAGCAGCAAGGGATCTGATTAAACCAAGGAACTGATAAATTGTAGCAAAATGAGAAGGCTGAAAATTGGTTCATAGATGGTCTGAAATTGGGACTACATCTCTTTAATATTTAATTTTGCAATTACCATTAAAAAGATGCAGGTGATATTTGTCAGTGTCAAAGGTGAGACGTTATCAGCATCAGCGAAGACTGAAATATCCTACAGACTGAACTGAACAATCTTTGGCATGACAGCACAGAAACTGGATGATATTTAATTGCACAGCACACCAAGCCATGTATTTAAGGAATTGCAGCCAGCTGGAAATTACCAAGGAAAAAGATGTGGACATGGTGGCAAATCACTCACACTCTGTCTGGTGTACAACACAACAAAAGGCTGTAATTTTTACTGATGGTTTTAGATTTCCTACCAGAGAGCAACCCTGAATATTGTACAGTTTTTCACTACCAGCTTTTAATTTTTTAGAAAGCTTTGAGTTTTCCATATAGCAAAATATATATGTGTGTGTGCACAGAGGAAGAGATGGAAAAAGATGAGACAGAGGAAACTCTGAAGGACAAATAGAATTTTTAGGGTTGGGATTTTCTGTTTGAATACTAATAACAATAACAATACTAATTCCAGACACATGTCCAAATACTGCTTTTGAAAGCTTCTGGCAACACCTTCAGCTCCACTAAGGAAGGAACTACTCCAGTTAATGCTTTTGGAGGGACAGCAGGTGACATCTTGCCAGCTTTTCTTTTGGCAGCATCATTTCCATGCTAGACCTATCCCAAAGATTTTGTGTGCTTGAAGTATTCAGAAAATGTTGTTGTTAGGCTGTGGAATACAGAAGTAACAATTTTCTTATATTGAATCATATTAATAAGTTCTCTCATTCTGCTCTGATAGTTTCTTATTTTATTATTATATACATTATTAACTATGCTAGCAGCAGGACATAACAAATGCAAAATACTTGTTCAGGAACACTACTGTTTCCAGCAGGGAATAATTAAGAATGCATGTCAATAACATTTAGGATTCTAATGAATAAAAGATAACTCATGCAGGCAACCCAGAGACCTGCATAATTTTCTCCAAGAAGGTTAAAATGCATGATGAGTGCCTAATTCATAGGGAAGCACATTTGGGTCATATATTTCAATAGCAGACAAGATGACATCAAGGTTCAGGTAATATACAGGTTTGAAATTTCATCTTTCCTGCAGGAAGCCTTCAAAAGGATGTCAGAAATCTTCAGTGCAATTCACCTGAAAAGCAGAAAACACCTTGCAGAGGTGGAATTTTAGACTTCAATACTTAGCAAAGAGAATATATATGAACATCAGAAACTCTACCTTTCATTCTTTGGGAGCACTGACTGCATTTCCCCAGCTGGATCTGAGTTGGTAGACAAGTGCTGAGCTCAGCTGTGCTCCAATCTCCGTAACAGCAGCAAATGAAATCAGTAAAGAATGTGACCATCAAACTGGCTTTTTTTCAGACCCTCCACCATTCCTCTAATTCTCCTAATTGCCAGATGCAATTTAGTTTTACATCGCAAAACTACCTTGATTTTATTTTTTCTAGAAAAATAGCAAAGGACAAAATGTGTTTCTGTGGCTTAGTCCATTTAGACCATCCCATTTGCTTTAAACTTTGCTGTCTATGGCAAGTGTAGGCTGTAGCATTATTGGCTGAATCTTGCTGGATTCCACACTACAAAATTGGAACAGTGTGTTTAGAAATGGCTTCTAACTCTTTAGTACTTTTCATTTCAACTGGCACTCTGCAGGCATTTTGAGGGCAGGGGCAAGATGGGGACTGTGGGAAGAGAAAACAACAAAGAAAGCAAGTTCTGATTGTACAGAATACAGGCTTTAGACAACCAGGACTCATGAGACAGGCATTGACACACAGATCCACTTACAGTGCTGCCTTTAAAAGAGCAGATCTAAAAATTATCAGAAATAACAACACAAAAAGCACAAACAAGACTAGTTTGCTGGTTTGGAATTTTTAGATGCCTGCCTTTGATAAAACCAAATGCTGAAGTGTAGCTGCTGTCTTGGCATCACCTCCTCCCTTATGCAACTGAATGGTTTTCCCAAATTAAAAAAAAAAAAAAAATCTTAAAACTTGAACCAAACCTAGAGAATGTAATTTGTTTTGGATAGGTTACAACTGCTCTCCCTACCAAGCAAGCAGACAGCAGCCAGGACTCTGCATGAGGCACTCAAAGGTTTCCAGACTGGCACTGGGATATGGGAGGTCCCCAGGCACAGCCGGGCCTCTGCTGCAGCCTGGGACTGTTCAGGGCTGGTGCAAGACACACAGAGAAATAAGGGGCTTTGTGTCTCATTTTATCACCTGTAGAATAAAAAAAGAATTTTTCTGCCACTTTTTGTCAATGTTGTTCAAAATTATTTTCATCTCATAAATGATTTTGATGTTGCCTGGCAGCTCACTACACCTTTATCCATGCCACTAACTAGTTTTGCTGCTATTCCAAGCTGGGGTAAGCTACAACAGAGCAGGATTTCAGACAGCTTTACCTCTACCCGTGTGCTGTTGCCTAGACTACAACAGACAGATTGGGTTTGGCCAGGTTGGTTCCTGTGATGGATGGGCACAATGAAATCTCTTCTGCCCCTCTGGGTGCTTCTTTCCCAGCAGCAGAGTTCCCTCCCTAAGAACAAGCCCCTTCCCTTAGCCCACTGCCATGGCATGTGTAAAGAGCTTGGTTTTCTTTGTTATAGTCTCTACCCTTTTCTTTCTCTTTCAACCCAGTTTCTTCTTCCTGTTACGAGGGAGATTTTATTTCTGTGTCCAATTTTA